CAGACCCGGTGGCCTGTTTTCTCACGTTTCCTCTTGCTCTCTGGTCAAATTTAAAAATAAATAAATAAACAAACAAATAAATAAATAAATAAAGTTAAATAAAATAATTCTAAAAAAGAAAGAAAGAAAGAGAGAAAGAGAGAAAGAAAATCACACAGGGCATGTGTGTGTGCATGTCCAAGTTCCTGGGAGGAGAATGGAGGAGAAGGGATTGCGATGTACCATCCCCCCACAGTGGGGGGTTATTTCTCACTTTCTCTCTCACTGTGTCTCTGTCTCTTTCTCTGGAGAGCACATGCGTTCTAAGGCAAAAAAAACAAAACAAAACAAAACAAAAACACTAAAAAAATACTAAATTAAGAGTAAAGGAAGGTCCACAAGATGGAAAATGTGCTTGGAGAATGGCCCTGTTTGCTTGCGCTGGGAGAAACCCTGTGAAGGCGATAGGCAGACGCTGTATCTGCCATGGCGGATGGTGCTGCTTCACAGCACTGGTGCAGATTTTCTTCCCTGATTCGTGGATTTCATACTACAACTCTGTTTCTGGTTGCTTTGTCCCACGAGGTGTTACTCTACTATCTCGTTTAGCTAGACTTACAGGGGTAGGTCCTAAGAATTCTATTCTTGGGGGAATATTCTCCTGGGCGGATCATTTCAAGCGAACCCACAGGAAAACCCGTGCTTTTCTGCACGTCCTCTCGTGCCCACGCAGTGGCGGAGTGTATGAATGTGAGTTGCTGGGTGGGAAGCTGGTACGAAGGGTGCCACCCTGACAATGAGGGCAGAGCAGGAGACATGGCAAACAGGAGATAGAAATCTGGGGTGGGGAAATTTAATCACCGGCATGAAAAGGGTGGCAGTAGCTGTAAAACTGGTCCCCTCGCCTTCCCCAGTGAGTCCATCTCCTCTTTTCCTGAGCTCCTATTCCTCAATAGCAATCGTCGCCTCAGTGACATGCATGTACCGTCTCATCTGTAGTGTACTGGTGCCCTCCTTTCATACTCCAATAGACGTAGGTTTTCTTTCTGTCCCCAAATAACTTCCCTAATAGTAACCTCCCTCTCCGCTTCCTGTGATGTGGCTTCTGTCCACGCTGTTCTTGAGCTAAAACTGCCCCCAGCAAGGTTGCTTCTGACCCAGTTGCTAAACCCAGTCTTACTTGACTCTCCTGCAGCTTTAGTCCCATTCACCATCTTTTTGCCTTCCCGAGGCTCCAGGACATCAACCTTCAGGCTTTCTTCTCTGACCATTCGTTCAGTCTTTCTGCCAACTCCTCTATCTTAATCCATGCTTTAAACGTTGCTGTTTCCTGAGCTAAAGATACCACCATATGGCATCCTTGTAAGAAATGGTAAAAGACGAGGACAGCAGGTTTCGTTGCCGGACTCCCACGTAGTCAACTGTAGTTCGAGTCCTAGACCCAGCGGCTTCCTCTTTTTTGTGTTCTAGCTTCTTTCCCTCTGCAACCTTGTTGACTTCCATGGTCCCAATGCTAACCCAGGTGTTTTACCTAATCTCTAGACCCCCTCTTCATCTGCCTCATAGATTTCTTTTCTTGGGTGTTTTGTGGGTACCCCAAACTTGCCAACGCCCAAACTTAATTCAGATCTGCACCTGCAGAGTCTAAGATATGCCTATTTTTCTATATTCTTTCTCTTGGTTAATGACACCATCTTTCATCCTCCATTCAACTGACACTTCAAGCTTATCAGTGCCCCTTCTCCTCCGACTGTTTAAAGCTGTCATCTCCAAAGGGCACTACTGAAATAGCCTTCTAACTACTTTCCTCATTTCCAAATCACTGTCTCCACTGCTACCAGATTCCTTTCTTTACCCCATCTGAGCACGTTGCTCTTTTGTTTAAGAACAAAAGAGTATTTTTGGCTTCTAATTAACCATCAGCTAAAGCCCAGATGCTCTGTTGTAGCATATAAAACCCTTCACATCCTGGACCCAACCTACTTTTCCAGTCTTACACCTCTCTTCGGCTCTCAGGACGTTCCTTGCTCTTAACCACATCAGACTTTGACACTCAGTTTCTAGAGCATGATTTTTTCTGTGTGCTTTAAGGTTGCTGTGCCTTTGGTGGTGCCTTGCACACCCTTTTCTTGTTTCTTTGCCTTGTAAAATCCCATTCACTCTTCAAGATGGTCTTGTCTCCTTCACTCTTGTCTCCTCTTTTTGTAAGCACTTCTGGCACCCCAGCTCTCTCTTCATTGTTTCTACAACACTACGGGCATGTAATAGAGAGTGCCTAAAAGTTGTTTTGCATCTCTTTCCCACTACATAGTGAATTTCTTTCTTTTTAAATAATATTTTATTTCACTTCAGTCATGTATTTATTTAGTTTAATTTGACCAGAGAGGGGCAGAGAGAGAGAGAAAGTGAGAAAACAAGCCGCCAAGTCTGGGACTCGAACCATGGTGGGCCATGTAGGAGTCCAGCGCCCTTAACCACCACACCACCTGCCAGCCCCCATTGTGAATTTCTTATGGGAAAGATTAAGCTTTATTAGTCTCTATACCATCAGCAGCTTGCCCCATGCCTGGTACATGGTAGGTACTGAATAAAAAGTTCTGTTTTAAATTGGGCAGGATGGGGGTGAGCAAGTTGCCTGGTGGTTAAGGCACCAGTTCCCACATGGCTGACTCCGATGTTCAAGTCCCGGACATGATGGCAAGAAAAACATGCCAGCCACACATACATACATGTCCAAAATCCCAAGAGGAGAATGGAGAAGGGATTATGGCATGACCACCCACCCATGACCCTGGGGCAGGGTGGAGGGCTAATTTCTCACTTTCCCTCTCTCTGTGTTTCTTTCTCCTGTGAGCACAAGAATCTATGGCAAAAATCTAAAGTAAATAATAAATAAATACGAACTTAAAAATTGATTAGATAAGATGCTTGAACATCATTTTTGGAAAGGACTGATGCTTTCTGTCCTGTCCATTTTCTTTGGGTATTGGAAGGATGCACATTAGGATGGCTGATGGGCACTGGTGGATTAATTGCTAAGTCATATCCCCATTTTTAGCCAGGCCTCTCAAGGGACATAGAGACTGTGATCTCTCTCTTTTTTCTTTTGTCTTTCTTTCTTTCTTTTTGGGAGAGGTTTTTGCTCTAGGGTGCGTGCATTCGCCAGAAAGAGAGAGAGACAGACAGAAAGCAAGAAATTACCTCCCAGGAGGGATGGCCATGCCTCAATCCCTTCCCCTCCATTCTCTTCTCAGAATCTTGGGCACGCAGGCACACACGCCCGGCATGAGTTTAAGCCACTAGACCCAGGATTAGAACCACGATCAACTACATGGGAGTCAAGCAACATAGCCATTATGCTAACTGCTGGTCCTGAGATTGTGATCTCTCAAATGATTGGTGTCTGAATATGTGTTTTTGCAGATAGCACAGTTCCTTAGAAATAGTGATAATTTTTAATCCAAGACCTAGATTCTAGAGTCCATGGAAAACTCACTTGTGGGTCCCATCTTCATAGTGGGGGAAGCCATGTAAGCAAAGACTAGGTTGTCGCAGTCATTTTTTTTTTAAATTTTCTATAGAGCATGTGTGCTGGGGAGTTGGGGAAGAAGGCACCCTCTAGGGGCTTTGACCTTGCAGCAATCCCCTCTCCATTCTTCTCTGGTATTCTGGGCAGCCCCCCCACACTCACATATAGTGTGTTTTCAAGTTGCCGTGGAGGAATCCTTTAGTGCAGTCTGCCACGTAGAATCCAGATGCCTTAACCACCACACCACTAGCTGGCCAGGTTATCCTAATCCTAAAACCTAAGAAAACTGGGACCAGCGATGGTGTAATGGTTATGTCACTGAACTCCCATGTAGTCAACCATGGTTCAAGTCCTGGACCCTGTGACTTAAAACTCATGCTAGGCGTGTATTCTTGAGTGCCTAAGATCTGGAGAGGAGAATGGAGGAGAAGGGATTGCAGTGTGGCCATCCCTCCTGGGGGGGGGGGGGGGAGGCGCTGTGTGTGTGATTTCTTGCTTTTCTTCATTCTGGGAGTGCATGCACCCTAGAGCAAAATAATCTCTTGAATTATCTTGAAAGCCGAGAGGGCAAGCATCGTTTACAGGTTTTGTAGAGAACCTCGCAAACAGAACTCATGTATAAGACGAACCTCTGCCATTCCCCTTAGTTAACCCCCACAGTACACGCCGTGATAGGCAGGAGACATGGACTCTGTGAAGCCCAGAACCGGTAGGGGTCTTTTTTGTTGTTATTGTTATTTTTTAAGAATTATTTTATTTAACTTTATTTATTTATTTACTTATTTAAATTCGACCAGAGACGGACAGAGTGAGCAAGAGGCGTGAGAAAGCAAGCCACCAGGTCCGGGACTCAAGTGGTCGGTCATGTGGGAGTCCAGCGCCCTTAACCCCCACGCCACCTACCTGCCCCAGAACGGGTAGCTTTCTCTTGAAATGAGCACAGGTGTATTTGTAGAACCTTGGTAGTAGCTTGAAGAGGATGGGAAAGGCCTTGGTTCCGATTTCCCCTCAAACACAAGAACTTGGTCCTGACTAGAACCCAAGCAACAAGTTGCCAAAGAAAACGCTGTGATTGGCCAGCAAAGGATGCCTGCAGGAAGAGTCTTTGGTACATTTCTTGAGACCCGTCAATCCACTCTAAGTCCTGTGCTTACTTATGGGGCCCTTCGCGCTCCTCTCCCGCCTCCAGTCCTCTGGCTTCGCAGAGGTTTAAGGGGCAATTCCCCGACGCTAGACTATTCAGGATCGGGCCCGGTGCAGAACCTCTCCGCCGGCCTGAACCTGGGAGGGCGCCCGGGGCCTAGGAAGCGGTATCGCAGCGGCGGAGGGCGCTGGGCCGCTCGGGCGGACGGTGGGCAGCGCAGGGCGATCGCGCGCCGGGCATGGCCGGGGGCTGGGGCTCCGGCCGCACCGAGCCACCGAGCGCGGCAGCGGGGGCGCCCTGGGCCGCCCTCCCCCGGGCGCGGCCA